TGACAGTGAGCACAGAGCAGTGGATAAATGCAGAGACATCACACCCAGGGGGAAACAGGCTCCCTGGGCCCCTGGATACCAGGGGCATGAGATGCTGAAAGTATTCAGGATTCACTTTCTGACCAGAGGCTCTGGAACTGCAACAAGGGATGAATGGTGGAGAAACACACAAAATCTATGTGCCTGCACTCTGTGAACTTGAGTGAAAGGACTTTCAAGGTGGTTTGGAAATAAATGAGGGGAAAGGAGCAAAAGAAAAAGCAAATGCCAGTGAAAGCCTGGAGAAGTCTTTCCCCACCTTGCACGTATCACAGAAAATATTCCTCTGCCCCAATAAGCAACTATTAAATGAGTAACACACCGTGAGCCTGGGATTACCTGCCCAGGTGTGGCACTGGGGACTCCATGAGCCCTGCCAAGGGCAGGATAGACACACCTCCTCAGATTTGGAAAGGGTTTAACACCAAATTCTGGACTAACCTCTGGTCCCCGAGCACAGCACGAGCCCCAAAGTATCTCTTCAACTCATTCTCTGGATTCAAGTTTCTGAGAAGGTGGAAAGAAGAAAGAAAAGCTGCATCAGTTAAAAAGTGCCACACTCAAGTCTCTCTGTCAACACCTAGCACCCCAAAGTGTCTCTGGAAAACCCCCAAACTGTCACACACTCCCCACTGATCAGACACAGCGTGGAGAAAGGAGACTGAAACTGCCAGCACTGGTAGGGAAAGCCCTGCTCCATGGACAGGCTTCCTTCCTGCCCTGCTGCAGAGCTGGGGAGTTCTGCTGCTGCCCTCTCCAGGGCAGCTGGAGCCTTGGCTGGGATGTTCCTGGGAGCAGCCAGGGCTCGGGAGCACAAGTGAATCCCATGGCCAAGCTCTACACACCACGGCTACTGGCACCTCTGCAGAGGTTCTGAGGCTGGAAGGTCCCTCTGGAGACTAACCTGGTCCTGCCACCTCTGCAAGCAGGCCTGGCAGCAGGGAATCCCCATCACAACCAAACACAGCTCCCAGAGGAGCAGAGATGTGCACAACCATCCCAACCCTTTCAATCACGGTGTGGAGCTTCTGGCCTGGTCACACTGGGAGGGTCCCAGCTCTGTTCCTCAGGGAGCAGCTGTCCCTCAGAGCAGGCAGGGCTGGCAGGGAGGCAGCAGTACCTGTGCCCACAGCTGTCCCTCAGAGCAGCAGGGAGGCAGCAGTACCTGT